AAATAGCATTGACAATTTCAAGCAATTCTAAACTTAGTATTTCCTAAATATGTTTATCCAATTCTCTTGTGCTGTATTTTGCCATCTAAAATTCAATTCAATTCACGTGTAACAAACGTTGCTATCACTTTATAATTGTATTTAAATATGAATTTTATAAATATATATATATATTATATACATATATATTATTATCTTAACGAGTTTTAAAGGGGAAGAGTAAAAACATTAATTAATTGGTTGGTTGTCTTGAGTTTATGGTTACTTCAGAAGATTACAGGAGACGGTTTACTTATCTGTCTGCGGACTGACTACTGCCTGACTGCCAGGCCCACAAAATTACATTGGTTTATTGGAACAGACATCATGCATTGACGTCTTCGCTTGGTTGCCGAAAATCCCAGCACCCCCTTTTCTCATCGCGATCTATATATATATATATATATATATTTATATATTTATTTATTTATAATTATATTTATATATATATTAGGTATTCATTTAGTAGAAACAACCTTTTGTTGGTAGGATATTTTATTCATATTTAACTACAAGCATAAAGTGACAGCAACGTTTGTTACAAGTGAATTGAATTGAATTTTAGATGGCAAAATACAGCAGTGGGATAAGCAAAATGAAATCGAAAATGACAAAGATAAAAATGCGCAATGTAGCAAAGAGACTGTGATTATTTTATTAGGCCACGCGATGACTGTTTTGTTTAAAATCAATTCATTAACTTAACCTTTTCTTGCGAATCTGTCCTAATTTGCCCTCAGTTCGCCCTACTTGTCCGGCCAGGATGTGCCGCATGAGTTGAGATCTGGTCCAATTAACTGCATGAGCGGGCTTCGATGCCGCGATCGTTGGTGAGCTCAGATCACCCAAGTGCAGGTCCGTCAGTCCTGGTCGCTTTACAGCCAGGCTTCGTGTCGGCGAAATGTTCTATCGTTTTTCTCGGCCACTTTGCCATTCGGTCATGCCGCGCCCAGTCCCTCTGCCTGCTGCGCTCTGGCTGGCGCTGGTTCTGGTCGTTTTAGCGTTTCCTCCGCCCAATCCCTCTCGCATTCCGTTGCTGGTCTCGGCCACAGCCAAGGCCGACGGTACCGTTTGGCGACAAATGGGCCCTCGAGGCGGCGTCTTTCCACACCCGAGCGGACAACGTCGAATCAGTCTGCCAGGCTTGGTCGAGGAGGCCAACCGTTTGATGTCCAACTCGCTGGCGGCCAGTTCGTCGTCGGAAGCCGGCACGCTTGGCCGCAGGTTGGGGTTGCGCAGGCAACTGGAGCGGCTGAACGATCCAAGTCGGACAGAAGTGAACAGTCTGGTCCAGATGAAGGGTCCCAACGAGCAAACGGTAATCCTGCTGCCGGAGAGCCTGTTGCGCGAAGGACTCAGCCCGGACGATGTGACCGACCTGCTTCGAGAGGTTGCTAGGGCCGAGAAGGACTCGTCGTCTGGACAGATGTGGCAACAAGCACGAGGCCAACAGCCTTGGACACATCAACGCCAACGACCGCAGCTGCAGACCACGAGCCTGCAGCGACATGTGCCCGTCTCGTCCGTCGGCTGGCCAACGGATGGACGAAGGTCACGCTCCGAGTCCCACTCGCCCATGCAGTGGTCTCGCGTTGCCAATAGGCCCCAGGTCAGACTCATGACCTCTGCTGGCTCACCGTCGAATGACTGGCGTCGTGTCAACTTCCCCAACCAGCGGCATGGATACGGTCGAGGCGAGAATGCTGAGAGAGGAGGAGAAAAGCGTCGTGAAAATCCTGAATTCCTTCAACTCATTCTTGGCAGGCCTGTACTGTTTGGCCAGAATAAATTCAATCGGCAAGCGCAACAATAGTGTGAATAAACTGAGGCCATTCAGCAGTTAGTTGGTCATAACTTTCACAAGTTTCGGCATTTCATATTAATAGTGAATCGTTTGAATAACGTCTCTTTGCTCTTGTCGTTTTGGGGCCATTTGCCTAATATTCTGAGTCTTAGTCATACTTAGCTCATAAAAGGAGGAAAAGCTGGAATTTTAGAAATATTCTGATAATTTCATGGCACTAGACCCTTCGCTTAGAATGGAAAGTTGAATGGAAGGGATTGTTAAATTGGTCTGACTAGAAACCGGATAAAGAAAATTTAACTGCCGAATGCTGTGGAGAAATGCCCGTCCAGCGACCTGACTGATATTGTATAACAAGAAGGCATGACAACAAAAAACTAAGTGGCTTAAGAAAAATATATGCAATTTCAATTAATTGGTAGCTGTACCGCAATAACTATAAATTTTGAAGAGGGGAATCAGTCCATCAAGTAAAGACAGATGCACAAATCCACTAAGCTAGTAATGTATTGCAATTCTGTCTGCGACATCAAAATTGGTTATGCCCTTTTAAAAGTATTTGGACCCTCTATAAGGATCAGGTTGTGGTAAGGCTCTTGGGCTCATGTGATGGTGTCTTTATGGGGTATTCGGTCGACCCAAACGAAATAGGCAAGCTTCAGACAAAACAGTGTGTAGTGTTGCGTCCATTTCGATCTCATCAGAAGAAGAAGATGAATTTCAATCGGTCTGATGTGCCTTTGCTTCACTGGGATATTGGGGCAATTCACAAAATAGTTCACTTCGGTTTAGACATACATTTGCTTGGGGTATTCAATCTTGATGACACTGAAGTAATGTTACACTGATGCAGTTAATCAGAATGACCGGTAGCTTTGCACCCAGACTTATGCATGTAACACGCACACACTCAAGAATGACATGAAAAAGGAAGGACTAAATCATTAAATATATATATATATATATATATGCATATGCATATTAAAAAACCTTCATTTCAATTTTATTTTTTACATATACAACCACTTAGTGTGTAAGGTCGAGCCATTGTAGGTGATCTAGTGTTACCCTAACGTCCGATACTAAAAGATGATAGTAATTGCAGAAGACTTCACTCGAAGTCTCCCTACTGTCTTATTCAATATCTACCGAAAGTCTCAGAACCTACTATCAATATAGGCAGTATTTGATCGTAATAACAGAATGCAATCTTGCTTGATCGACGCTTCTAAAATACATGTGAATAATGAATGGAAGAGGTATGTCCTACCCTGAAAGTCTCATCAGACCTATGGTCAACTGGCATCTGCCAAAAATATTCAGCGCACTACTCAGGCTAGTTCGAAACTGCAGTCAACT